CACACACACACACACACACACACACACACACACATAAATAAAATTAAAAAAAACCAGGAGGCCGGGGAGATGGCTCAGTAGAATAAGCGCTTGGGCCTGAGTTCAATTCCCCGGTTCTGCCACAAGACTGGGCGTAGCAGCGCGCACCTGTAATCCCAGGACTTGGGAGGCTGAAGACAGGAGACTCCTGTAGACACCGTACTAAATATATTTAACAAAACAAAAAAAGGGGCCGGGGAGATAGCTCAGCAGAATAAGTGCTTCCCTGGCAAGTGCAAGGGCCTGAGTTCAATCCCCAGTTCTGAAAAAAAAAAAAAAAAACAAAACCCAGAGGGGATGGTGGAGCCACCTGGAAGCCCAAACCTCTAAGAACACTGCCCCATCCACAAAGTGAATCTGCTGCAGCAGGCTCAGGGCCCACAGAAATATAATTTTAGGGGCCAGGGATATAGCTCAGGGGCACAGCACCTGCCTAGCAAGTGCAAAGTCCTGAGTTCAATTCTCAGTTCCCTAAAAACAAAAACAAACAAAAAAAAAAAAAAAAAACAGTATAGAAGCCAGGTGTGGTGGTGTGTCTATAATCCCAGCACTCCAGAAGCTGAGGCAAGAGGATGTTTGCAATTTTGAGGGCAACCTGGGCTACAAAGTGAGCTCAAGGCCAGGCTGAACTGCATAGTGAGACCTTGTCTCAAAAGACTAAATAAATAATAAATAAGGGCCAGCCAGCCAGCTCGGCAAACTAAATGGCCTGTTTAGGCAGAGCGCAGAGGCCAGCGTTCGGTCCCCAGCCTGCCCCTAGAGTGCCCTGAGAGGGCGATGGAGCCTGGGCACGGTGGCATGCAACTGTAATCCCAGCACTTGAGAGGCTGAAAACAGGAGAATCACGAGTCCAATCTATGTAGTGAGACCCTGTAGACCCTGTACTAAAATACATAAATAAAGTAAGAGAAGCCTGGAGTGGTGGGGCACTCTTGTAACCCCAGAACTGGGGAGGCTGAGGCAAAAGGATCCCCAAAGTTTCAAAGCCAGCCTAGACCACAAAGTGGGACCCAGTCTCAAACAAAAAAGAAAATGAAAGAAACAACCATAAATGCTAGGACCTGGGAAACTCATAACGAGGGCCTAAATGTCTCTCTCCAAGGCGTGGAATTCCTCCAGCCCCCGAGTCCAGGTTAGGGTACGAATGAGCAGCGTCCCCAGGGTAGGGAGAAAGGAAAGGACGCACGCTGGGCGGGGTGAGCACGCCACCTGCAGGGCGTTCACTGGGCTGGGCGGCGGGTGGGCGCGGCCTCCCTAGTACTCCACCAGGTGGAGCAAGATCACTTCTTTAAAAACTGCTGGTGGGGCTGGGGAGATGGCTCAGTAGAATAAGCGCTTCCCTGGCAAGCGCAATAGGCCTTTGTTCAATCCCCAGCTCCGCCAAAAAAAAAAAAAAAAAAACTGTCTCAACCTGGCACATGCTGTAATCCCAGCACTTGGGAGGAGCTGGCAGAAGGACTGAGTTTGGGACCAGCCTGGGCTACCTAGTGAGTTCAAGCCTAGCCTGAACTACACAGTGAAACTCTGTCTCAAAAAAACAAGATCATTGTTAAGTCAACAAGGGGAAAACAAGCCTGTAAAACCTTTTCTTTTTCCCTTTTCTATGTTGTACTTGGCATTGAACCCAGGACCTTAGCACTGAGTAACATCCCTGGATATTTTTTATTTTGTTATTTCTGGTACCTAGAATGGCACTCGGGACCTTGAGCTTTGCACCACTGAGCTGCATCCGCAACCCTCCTCCTTTTTTTTTAGGCAGGTTCTCCCTATGTAGCCCAGGCTGGCTAGGAGCATGCCCTGTGCCTGCTCAGTGCCACCACATGACAGGTCTGCCTGCCTGCCTGCCTTGAACTCAACAGCGATCCTCCTGCCTCAGCCTCCTAAGCGCTGGTATTACAGGCTTGAGCCACCATGATCTGCATTTGGGTTTTATTTTTAAAATTTGTTTTTTTCCCCCAAAATAAACAACCCTGTCAGTTTTTCTGCACATAGAATCACACACTTGCTTAGTCATCCCACAAACAGAAGTCCTAGTGTGTTCTTGACCCTGGGCACACAGTGGAACTGAACAGCCCTGTCCCTGGTGGGGACATACAAGGCAGGCAGACCTGTCATGTGGTGGCACTGAGCAGGCACAGGGTATGCTCCTGACCCAGGCTGGAGAGGCCCTAGAGGGCTTCTTGGAGGCTGAGGCAGCCAAGCCAAGATGCCAGGTGCAATGTACTTCAGCAGCACAGGTGAAGGTCACATGCAAAGCCCAAAGACAGGCAGGTCCTGGGGACAGCTGAAGTTAGTCCAGGCTTGGATAGGGAAGTGGGCAGGAGTGGGGAACAGAGGGGAGAACCCAAGGCTTATGTGAGCACAGTCCAGGGATTCACTCTTTTCTGGAGCCCAAGGTCTTCTCACAGAGCTCCACCCATAGCCCTTTTTATTATTTTTTTATTTTTTATTTTTTTGGTGGAACCAGGGATTGAACTCAGGTCCTTGTACTTGCCAGGGAAGCACTTATTCCACTGAGCCATCTCCTGGCCCCCAGCCCTTTTTATTTTGGAACAGGATCTTGCTAAGTCACTAAGTTGCCCAGGCTGGACTTGAACTTGTGATCCTCTTGCCTCTGCCTCCCAGAACTCCAAAGCTGGCTCTGGTTTCCTGGGTGAGCCCCCAGGCACCAAGCTCAGTATCCCATGGGTAGAGGAGCACCCAAGCTGACACATCACCCCTAGAATCCTGGGGCATAACAGCACAGTACTCTGGCTTTGGCTTTGTTCTATTTTGCTATGGGGCTGGGGCTGGAACCCAGCACCTCCTGCACACTAAGCACCTGCTGTGCCACTGAGCTGCACCCCATCCCCTGATACTCTGTTTTGGGGTGTTTTGTCTGTTTTGGGGTGATTTGTTTGGGAGCAGTTGATCCCTTGTGTGGGTAGCTCTGTGCGCTGTGGTCCAGATAGAAGTGATGATGATGATTTTGCAGTAGTGGGGATTGAAACCAGGGCTTCTGGGCTGAGTGACACCCCCAGTTCTTTTTATTCTTTTATTCTGCCAAGACAGACTCTTGCTAAGTTGCCCAGGCTGGCATGGAATTTGAGACACCTCTTCCCTCAGCCTCCCAGAGTGCTGGAATGACAGATGTGCACCACCCTCAAGACAGGACTGATTTTTTTTTTTTTTTCCAGAACCGGAGATTGAACTCAGGCCCTTGTGCTTGCCAGGGAAGCACTTATTCTATTGAGCCATCTCCCCGGCCCCTGATTTTTTTTTTTTTTGAGGGGGGGTCTTTTTGAGACAGAATCTTACTATGCAATTCAGACTGGCCTTGAGCTGACTTTGTAGTCCAGCATGGTCCTGAACATAGTGATCCTCCTGCCTCTGCCTCCTGAGTGCTGGGATTAGAGGCCTGCACCACCACACCCAGCCATGGACTGATTTACATAAAGATAACCATCTCACCAGCCCCTCATTGGATCTTTTTTTTTTAATTATTTATTTATTTTTATTTATTGTGTGTGTGTGTGGCCAGCTCAGCCCACCAGGGGGCGGGCTGGCTGGCATGTGGTGCTGGGGGATCGAACCGTGGTCCCTGTTCTTTGCCAAGCCTTGTTTTAAGTAGGTGCTTTAGACCACTGAGCCATCTCTCCAGCCCCCTCATTGGATCTTAACAATAAAGTCAACCACAGTGTGTGAAAACGTTTGACCCTTTCTGGAGAGATCCATCGTGTCTCACTGCTAGCACATCCATTTGAGGAATCTCAGAAACAATAGATCATTACAATGTGAGCAGCAAACATCACGACAAACTGGTGCCAAATGCAACACACGGACATGACATTTTCACTGATTATCTGAGACAAGAATAAAAATATGAATAACAGGATAATAGCCATTGCACAACCAGGCTCAGGGATGCAGGTGGCTTCCCAGAGTGTGCTCAGAGAGGGGCAGCGAGTTCTCCCAGGCCGAACAACCCGCGCAGGTCTGGTCCTGCTCCAGGGCCTCAGACACCTGGTGGAGCTGGGTGGGCGCACAGGCGGCGCAGCTCGGCCTGGGGTATCACTGGGCCCGAGGGTGCAGATCCACGGGGCTGACGCTGGCGTCTTGGGGCGCACGCGCACACGCGGCGGAAGGCCTGGCGAAAATGGGAGCCCAGGAAGGCGTAGAGCAGCGGGTTCAGCGCAGAGTTGCTGTAGGACATACAATGCGCCCAGGTCTTGAGCGCATACGCTGCATAGCTGCGCGGGTGCCACGCGCCGGCTGGGCCCAGGGCCTGCAGCACCAGGAACAGCTGGATGGGGCCCCAGCAGGTGGCGAAGAGCAGGACCACGGCTGCCACCAGCCGGGACACCTTGGCGCGCATGGCACTAGCACGCTGGGCCAGCAGCCGCCCCTGGGTAGGAAGGAGCTGGTTAGAGGGAAGGGCGGGGTCAGGCCCTCGCTGTCCCGCTCCCCCGCTACCTTTCCAAACTTCGCGCGGTCCTGCTGGGCTGCAGACCTGGAAGGTGCGGTCAGTGGGCGTAGGCCGCACGGCTGCACGGCCGAGGTGGCGCAGCATGGCCCCATAGCAGGCGCAGGTGGCAACGAGCGGCAGCAAGTAAAGCGCGAGCAGGTTGTAGAGGGCAAAGGCGCGCTCCAGGGCGTGGCTGGGGAAGGCCTCGCTGCAGTAGGTCCTCGGCCCCGGCGAGAGGCGGTGCAGGGCGAGCACCGGGGCAGATAGGGTCGCCGAGCCTAGGCCATGGGTCAGGATGAAGACGCCCCCCGGGGACAGAGCGTGCAGTGCGCCAAGGCTCTCCCGGGCTGCCTTCACCGCGCGCCTGCTGAGCGCCACACACTTCTCTATTCCCCCACACCGGGGGTGGAAGCCAGGGTCTTTGCCTTGAGCTACCGTCCCACGCCTTTTATTTTATTTTTTATTTTAGAACAGGGTCTCCCCAGATGGCCCAGGTTGGGCTCCAACTTGAGATCCTTGTGCCTCACCTTCCCAGAGTCCTGGCATAACAGGCTCCCTGACTCCCTTTGGTACCTGGGTGAGCCTCCACAGGGAAATTTCACGCACCCTTTTTCTAGATGCCCACCTGAGGCCAGGAGGGGGCAACCCAGGGCTCATAGATCTGTCCCCTACACCTCCCGCGGCCCCCTGAGCTGCACTCACCCACCCAGATGCCCAGGCTGATAGCCAGAGCCAGGCGCGGCGTGCGGCGGTGCAGGGCTCGCAGTGGAAACACGGTCACATACCAGCGGTCCACGCTCATGGCGGTCAGGGTGGCGCACGTGGCCTGCACAGAGACCTGGAAAGGTGAGGAGCAGGCATAGGCTCTGACTTGGGCCCAGTATGCCCCCACACTCCAGTCGGACCACTCAGGCACACAGACCATGTGAGGGAGGGAACAGGGGCTCACTTCATTTGTACCACCTACTTCGGTCCCATCACCACGCCCGCATATCTCCATGGAAGCAGACTCCGAGCCAGCAGACCCGGCCCCTCCCTGCACCCCTTCCAGTGCTCACACCTGCTGAATGTAGTTGACAAACTTGCACATGAAGTCGCCCAGCACCCAGGTGGGCAGCGGATACAGCAGGGCCGTGAAAGGGACGCAGCACAGCAGGAAGATCACGTCGGTGGCCGCCAGGTTGGCTGCAGGTGTGGAGGGAGAGGTGGATGTGGGGCCCAGCCTCCTTGGCCCCAGGCTCATCCCCAAGAGTGACTGCGGAGAAGTCACTGATCCCCAGAGAAGTTGGTGCTCCCTCTTCTCAAGAGCACGGAGTTCTTAGGCACACTGAAAGAATTGTCCTCCACCCAGTAGTGCAGAAGAGGGAACCCAGTGCTCACCACCAAGCCACAGCCCCTGCCCTGGCACTGAGCACTCTTCTCAATCCTGAGCCTCAGTTTCCTCCTTCCCAAACTGGGGATAGCAGCAGAGCACAGTAGTGCATTCTTATAAGCCCAGCACTGGGGAGGCTGAAGCAGGAGGATTGCTGTGAGTAGACACTATCTTTAAAAAGGTGTATGTGGGGGCTGGTGAGATGGCTCAGTGGTATAAAGCGCCTACTTAGAACAAGCTAGGCTAAGCTAAGCAAAGCACAGGGATCACGATTCAATCCCCCAGCACCACATGCCAGCCAGCCCTGCCCCCTGGTGGTCTGAGCTGGCCACACACACACACAAATAAATAAAAAGAATAAAAAGGTGTATGTGAGAGGGCCAGTCAGATAATTCAGTGGATTAAAGTGCCTGCTTAGGCAGACACAGCTGGAGTTCAGACACAGCAGCCAGGGTTCAATCCCCAGCCTGCCGAGCTGGCCCACTCCTGGGACACACTGAGATGGCAATGAGACTGGGCATGGTGGCGTGCACCTGTAATCCCAGCGCTTGAGAAACTGAAAATAGGAAGCTCACTACAAGTCTGATCTGTGTAGTGAGATCCTATAGACCCTGTACTAAATACATAAATTTCAAAAAAAATTTGTGTGTGTGTGTGTGTGTGTGTGTGTGTGTGTGTAGTCATGGAGCCCCTGCATCACCACAGAAGGAACACTGCACACACCTGTGCACCCCAGAAAACAAAGGTGCCACCTGAGACTCAGGCCACAGGCAGAGGTCGAAGCTGTCCCACCACCCCATGGACCAGTGGAGTTTGAGTCACAGAACAATTTTACAATAGGACTTCTTTGTGTGGATGGAGGTCAGGTGGGCAACCATCCCACCTCCTCCCTTTTCAAAAAGGTCCCTCCCTGTTCTTAAGACAGTCTGTCTGTAGATCAGGATGGCCTCAAACTCACAGCAATCCTCCTGCCTCAGCCTCCCAAGTGTTTTTTTTTTTTGTTTGTTTGTTTTTTTCACAATCGGAAATTGAACTCAGACCCTTGAGCTTGCCAGGGAAGCGCTTATTCCATTGAGCCATCTCCGCGGCCCCTCCAAGTGTTTTGACAGATGTGCACCTCTATGCCCGGCTCTTTCTTCTTTTATAATAGAATTCAAACTCTGGGCCTCGCGCTAGCCAGGCAGGCGCTGCATGCCAAGTTATATCCCAGGGTTTGCCTTGCCCCCTCCCCACAATGGCACTGGAGATAGAACCCAGAACTTAAGCATTTTTCCCCCACCCCTTTTCTATTTTTTATTCTGAGACAGTCTCCCTAAATTGTCCAGTCTAGGCTCAGACTTGCGATCCTCTTGCCTCCGCCTTCCAGAGTTCTGGGATGACAGGAGCGCGCCACTACGCTCTGCTCCTTGCTCCTTGCGGAATACGGCCGGCAACTGAGCGTCAGCGCTGGAGGTTGCAACCTCTGGTCTAAGCTACAGGGGGGAGAGAGTGGGGAGCCCTGCTGGAGAGATATGAGCCCGGGGGTACCTCCGGTCCCTGTGCTCTCACAGAGTCCGGCACTCACCGATGTAGAAGTTGCTGACCGTCCGCATCTGCTTCTGGCGGCAGATGACAAAGATGACGAGAGAATTCCCGGTCAGCCCGAGCAGCATCAGCGTAGCGAAGAACAGCGGCACCAGCCAGGCGTCCAGCAGCAGCGGCGCGGAGCCGGGGCCATCCGAGCCGTCGGCGCCACAGCCTGGGCAGCCCGACGCGTTGGCGAACGCCCCCCAGGACGAGTTGGGCACCGGCGTGGCTGCGGCGCACATGGCCTCGCCACTCTGCTCTTTCTGCACTCCGCCCACCTGGATCGTGTCCTGCGACGTCCGAGGGGATTGCGGGGGATGCGCTGGCAGCTCCTGGGCAGGATGCTGGACCGCTGCTCTGATCGAGAGCAGCGCCCTGAATTTATACCGCGCGCCCCGCCTCCGGGCCCCTTTCTGACTGCTGCGCTGCGTGCCCCCCCCCCGCCCGCGTGCGGGCAGCCAGAGAAACGGTGGGTGCAGGTGGCTGGGTGGGGGGGACAGGCTGGGAAGGAGGGAGCTGGGAAATGGAGACCCACGCAGCTCCTGGGCAGGATGCTGGATCCCGCAGCGACCGACCTTCAGGGAGAGCGCTGGGGAGGGTCTGGAGCGTTTGTCCCAAGACCAGAGGAGCCGTGGACGATTCTGGGCAGCTTGGATCTGGCCTCCTATTTTTATATTTTGGTGAAGCCAAAGATGAAAGTTGAGATGTCCTGCACGCTTGCCGAACGCTCCCCACTGAGCTGCACTCTCCTCATTTTGTCCCAAAATAAGGCACCCTTATTTTAAGACAAACTGAGCTCAAACTCTAGATCCACCCACCTCAGTCTTCCCAATGGCTGCAATTACAGGTGCGCCCCGCTGCTCCTGCTCCCATCCGACTGCTTTCTTCCTGAATGTGCAAACGGGCGACCCAGGAGCACCTGGCTGAGAGCTACAGAGCACCTGGGTGATTCTCACCCCAAGCTGCGGAGCCAGGTGGGAGGCGACTCAGAAAGGGGCAACCTTCCCACGCCCGAAAGGATAGCCCAGAAAATCACCCAGAGACACCTCCTATACTCACGCCTGTCATCCCAGCACTTGGGAGGCTGAGGCAGGAGGATCGTTGCAAGTTCAAGGCCAGCCTTGAGCCTACAAAGTGAGCTCAAGGCCAGTCCAAACTGCATAGTGAGACTCTGTCTCAAAAAGATAAGAAAAAAAGAAGAAAAGAAAAGAAAACAAACTAGAGGAGAGGCGGGCTGTGTGCTCTGGAGTTAAGCTCCGAGTCTTTTTCACCTGCATTTACCGAGCTCTGCCCTGAGCCAGAGTCTGGGAACCAAACATCCCTACCCACACTTCACATCCCTGCCTCGAAGGGGTGCACTCGTCACCCCATTTTCCATTTGTTTATCTCTCTCTTGCCAGTTATCCACACAGATCTCAGCCCTGTGCTGTCTGGTGTCTGTCACCAGCTTTTCTTTCTTTCTTTCTTTCTTTTTTTTTTTTTTTTTTTGCGGAACCGGGGATTGAACTCAGGTCCTTGTGCTTGTGAGGGAAGCGCTTATTCCACTGAGCCATCTCCCCAGCCCTCAGCTTCTCCCCCCTCCCTTTATAATGGAGATAGTGCACTATCTCCATTAAAGCCTGGCAAATTGCTTAACTCAGTTCTAATCCCTGCAGGTCTCTGTGGGCTGAAGGATGGGTTTAAGAATCTACCACAGGGGCGGGGTGGGGAAAAAAAAAAAAAAAAAAAAGAATCTACCACAAGGGGGCCCAGGGAGATGGCTCAGGGGAATAAGTGCAAGGGCCTGAGTTCAATCCCTGGCTCCACCAGAAAGAAAGAAAGAAAGAAAGAAAGAAAGAAAGAAAGAAAGAAAGAAAGAAAGAAAGAGAAAGAAAAGAAAGAATCTACCACAAGGTGGGGCCAGGGAGCTCAGTTGACTAAGCGCTTCCCTGGCAAGCACAGGGGCCTGAGTTCAATCCCCGGTTCCACCAAAAGAAGAAAAGAAAAGAAGTTGGTGACAGACACCAGAGAGCACAGGGTTGTGAGACGTGTGTGGATAACTGGCAAGAGATAGATAGATAAATAAATGGAAAATGGGGCGACGAGTGCACCCCTTCGAGGCAGGGATGTGAAGTGCGGGTAGGGATGTTTGGTTCCCAGACTCTGGGGCCTGGGGAGAAAGGAGCCCTTCTCCACTGTAGCTGGGAGTGCACACTGGTGCAGTCCCTGTGGACCTGTGGAAGTCAGTGTGGAGATTCCTCAGGAAACTAAGACTAGGGGCTGGGGAGATGGCTCACTTGAATAAGCGCTTCCCTGGCAAGAACAAAGGCTTGAGTTCAATCCCCGGTTCGGCCAAAAAAAAAAAAAAAAAAAAAAAAGAAAAGAAAAGAAAAAAGAAACTAAGACTAGGGGCTGGGGAGATAGCTCATAGTCCCAGAGGAATTAAAAGCTTCACACCATGGGATGTATGCAACCCATGTTTATAGTGGCACAGTGCGACAGCCAAATCTTGGAAACAGCTCAAAGGGATTTTTTTTTTAATTCAATGCATGTGGATTTTATCATCCCATAAAGAAGATGGATAAGTTTGAGACATTTCTAGGAAATGGATGCATCCTCAGATCGTACTCCTAAGTGTAATGGGTAGGACACACGCGTAAACATTGCATTGTTTCTCTGGTGTGAGAAACTGAAAGTGTAAATAAGGACCAAAGTGTACAATAGGTATTGTGAAAGAGAAAGAACGTGTTCAAATGGGGAGAGGAACAGGAAAGAAGGAAAAGGGAGACAGAGAGAGAGAGAGAGAGAGAGAGAGAGAGAGAGAGAGAGAGAGAGAGAGAGAATGAGAATAAGGAAAAATGGAAACAAAAATTTTGTAAATGGGGAGTGGATGCAGGGAGGGGAGGGGAGGGGAAATGGAAAAAGAATCAAGTTATATCATGTAAAAATTCTCTATGCTGAGAATAATTATTACGTGTATCTATAAAGTACCAATAGGGGCCTGTTTCCCCTGCACCACAGGTCACACCAGCCCTGAGACCTGTAATCCCAGGGTTGGGGAGGCTGAAAACAGGAGGATCACTATGAGTCCCAGCTGCGTAGTGAGACCCTGTACCAAACACACTTTAAAAAAAAAAAAAAAAGTACCGATAGAATCTGATTGAAAGAAAGAAAGAAAAAAAGGGGGGGGGGGGGGGACAGGATTCCACAGCAAGCCTGGTGTGGTGGTGCATGCCTGTCATTATGGCACTCAGAAGACGGCGAGTTCCAGGCCAGCCTCCTGTCTCAAAACAAAAACCAAACTAAACCAAACCTAACTCAGGGCACCAGTTCACCTGGGCTTGCCATGTCCCTGGGCTTTTATACAGGCTCCTGGCCTGCCAACCCTCCTACGGAGCCCCCAGTGGAGGAGGGGTCTCCCTTGAGTCACTGCTGGGTGGCTCACGCATATTTGTTGAATGAGTAATAAACGAAGAAGGGCAGAAAGGAGGGAGGGTGGGGTAATGTCATCCTGAGTTTTTGGTGTTTATTTTTTATTTTTATTGATTGATTGATTGATTGATTGATTGTGGTACCGGGGATTGAACTCAGGATCTTGGCGCTTGCCAGGCAAGCACTTATGCTACTGAGCTATCTGCCCGGCCCTATTGGTGTTTATTTTTGTGACAGGGTCTCGCTATATAGTTCGGGCTGGCATTGAGCTCAGTAGGCAGCTCCAGCTCGCTGTGGGCGAGCGTCCCAGGGCTGGGATGACAGGCGTGGCCACCCAGCCCGCGCGTCCTGGCTCCAGAGACCAGCAAACAGAGGCTGAGCTCGCGGTTGTGGCTAACTCGATCCCCGGGTAGCGGGAGGCCGCCCCGCCGCGTCGGTGGGGACAGTCGCCCCCACAGATCGCGCTGCCCCCCTTCCCACATTTCCTCCTTCTGGGGATCCGGCCGCTGTCCCCGCCCCTCGAGGCTCCGCCCCCGTCCGTCACTTCCTGCCCGCGGTGCAGGCCGGCGGCGCCGAGCGCGGCCCGGCGATGGTCGCGCTGGAAAACCCTGAGGGCTGCGCGGAGGAGGCGGCGGGGGGCGCCCCGGGCGCGCGGCGGAGGCTGTGAGCGCGGCGGCGGGCGGGGGGACGTGGGCTTCTCCTTCTCCAGGGCTCGGGGACCCCCATCTCCTTCCCTTCCCGAGCTCGGGCTTCCCCTCCCCTGCTCCTCTCCCTTCTCCCCGGGTTCCCCATCTCCGTCTCTCTTCCCTGCCCCCCGAGTTTAGGGCCGACCTCCTGCCTTCTGGGAACTCCCCGGAAATGCCCCAGGGAGGATTTCGCTTCCCCAGGCTCGGGGACCATCTGCGCCCACAGGTCTGCGCTTGTGTCTGTACCGAGGGCGCTGGCCAACCCCCAGCTGCCCCTGCCCTGGCTTCGCGGCCCCGGGCTCGCTTGGCTGGTGTTCCCTGCGCCCCACGGATGCTGGAGGCGGCTGCTCCTGCGTCCCGGCAGCCGCGCTCCGCTTGCACTTCGGGTGCGAGGCCAGGTTTAGTGGGGAAAGGGTCTTCACCTCCGGGCCGCGAGAGCCGCACTGTCCTGAGTGGACCGAATGGGAGCCCAGGGGCCCTGGAGGGGCTTCCGGCGCCTGGGGCGGAGATGACACTTGTGGAGGATGAGGGGTCGCTCTGGAGTCCTTTTCTTTCTCTTTTCTTTCTTTTTTGTCTTCTTTGAGACAGATTCTCATTATGCATTTCAGGCTGGTCTTGAACTTTATAGTCTAGACTATAAACTCGAACTCAACAGCAATCCTCCTGCCTCAGCCTCCCAAGTGCTGTGATTACAGGCATGCACCACCAACCCAGCTCTGGGGACCATTTCTGCCTCCTTCAGAGGCTTCTGTGGACTCCAGGCCAATTATTGGGCCCTGTGATTCAGTTTCCCATCTGTAAAATGGGATTTTTTTTGTAACTGCTTTTGAGTAGCTGGAACCAAGGACCCAGGCTAGGTTCCCAGGGGACAGGAACATCCATTTTTATTGTTTATTTTCTCCACACTGGAGATGGAACCCAGGGTCTTCATATTGGTTACATGTCCACCCCACCCCTTTTTTGACAGGGTTTCACTGTGTAGTTGTGCAGGTTGGACTCGAACTCACAGCAGTCTTCCCAGTGCTGGTATGACAAGTGTGCCACTGTGCCCAGTAGGAACAACTTTTTTTTTTCAGAACTGGGTTTGAACTTGGGCCCTTGCGCTTGCCAGGCAAGCGATTATTCTACTGAGCCATCTCCCTGCCCCTGGGAACAACTATTCTTAGTCTTGGTTGTTTTTCCCCCACCCCTTTTTGAGATGGGGTCTCCCTATGTGGTTCAGACTGACCTTGAGCTTCGTGGTCCAGGCTGACCCGGAGCTGACCTCAAGCCTGTTAGGGCACCCTCCTGCTTCAGCCTCCTCTCGCTGGCTGAGCTACAGGTGTGCATCACTATACCTGGCTCATTCTTAGTTGTTTTTGTTTTTTGTTTTTGTCCCCCCCCCCCAACCAGGGATTGAATTCAGACCCTTGCGCTTGCCAGAGAAGCGCTTATTCTACTGAGCCATCTCCCCAGCCCCTTCTTAGTTGTTTTTGATGACACTCCTGAGTGTCTTGTTATTTTGGTTACCTTATCATTACTTTAATGTGGTTTCGACACATTCTTTTTATTAGGTTAAATTTTTCTGAGTAGGCTTGTTATTACTTTGTTGCTACCCAGATAGGGTCTTGTGAAGTCAGAAGGTGGCTCAGGCTGGGCTGGAACTTGAGATCCTCCTTCCTCAGGCTCTTAGTGCACTGGGAAGACAGGTGTTGACCCTCCGGGCTAGCCTGGATCTGAAAGGCAGGTTGGGACACTAGGTGTGGCAACGTGTGATGTCCTTTTGTCCCTGCCAGGTCTCTAGCAATCATTTCCTCATTGCTGTGCTGTCCCAGCTAGGTGGCTGGGTGACAGTCCCTCTCCTCTGCCTTGGGGGCTGGGAGCTGCTGTCCCCCAGGGGCCACACCTGCTGAGTCACACAGCCTGATTCCTACTGGGGAAATACCGTAGGTTCCTTTTGTTCCCTAGGGGTGCAGGAGAGGGTTTTTGTTTTGTTTTGCTTTGTGTTTCAGGCACTGGAGATTGAACCTAGAGCCTTCACACTGAGCTCCATCTCTAGCCCTTCTAAAAAAAAATTTTTTTTTTGCGGTACCAGGGATTATACTCAGGACCTTGCGCTTGCCAGGCAAGCGCTTATTCTACTGAGCTATCTCCCCGGCCCTCTAAAAATATTTTATTTTTATTACTTTTTTTTTCTATCAGGAATCGAACTCAGGACCTTGCACTTTGCTGCAGGCAGTGTGCTGCTGAGCTATAGTCCTAGCTAAAATGTTATATTTTGAGACAAGAGTTTTACTAAGTCACTTAAGTTGCCCAGGCTGGGTTTGAACTTAAAGATCTTTATGCCTCGGCCTCCCAGAGTATGCTCTTGCCTAGGGCAGTGGCTGGCAGAGGTTCCCATCTCTAAGCCCACGGTGGCCTGTTTTTCATCTCTAAACCTCACACACATTTGATTCAGGCCCACTCACCCCTTGTCCTTGCTGGCTCTTCTCTGGGTGCCGGAACCCCAGTGTGTAAGCCCCAGGGTATAAGCGGCTCCATCCTGCCTGGCTCTAGGCAGCCTCAGACACCCCCTTTCGTTCTCAGTTTTCCTATCTGGAAAGTGTTCTCATTGGATGGTGCAGAAAGCTCTTGGCTAGTCCTGTCAACAGTCATTTTGTTAGTCACTCAACAGGTAGATGGTGAGCCCTCAGGTTGCAGGCTGTGTGACTGGGGATCCGGCAGGGACCAGCGGGGAGCGGGGTCTAGAGACACGGAAGGTGGCACAGGAGTAAACAAGAAGTCAGTGGCCCTGCTGGGTCAGTGCCAACCACAAAAGCAGGAAGAAAGACAGATTGGAGCCTCAGGGTGGGGCCCTGTAGGCAGGTGACACTGAGACAGAGACCAAGGAGCCCGAGAAATGTTCTAGGAGCAGGGTTAGGCCTTTGGTACCTGCGGTGGGGAGGCCTGCTCGGTGTCATCTGAGGGAGTTTGGGTGACTCCCAAGTCCATGGTGGGTGCAGGTTCCCACCTTCACATGCATGATGTAGGGCAAAGGCCTGCTTCCTGTGGCGGCCAGGGGTGCGGCCTGAGCTCCGGATGTAGACTCTTCTTATCAGCCCCAAGCAGCTGCCGGGTGTAGGGAGGCTTGGGGTTCCTAGGGGCATCAGCAGGGCAGCCCAGAGTCATTGGCCAGTGTTCAAGCATCCAGTGGATGCCACCGTGCCTGAGACATGATTTGCAGTGCCTGCCCCTACAACTGTGGGGCTCCGGGTGGTGACTTTGCATTTAGGTTTATTGATCTGTGTCATGACATCAACAGAACAGTGTTTGTCTCCTCAAGGGACAGTATAGGTGACAGGGAGTGAGCCCAACATGGAGGAAACACCCAATGCAGGTGACCAGGCACGGTGAGTGTGGGGGGGAGCTCCCCATCCCAGGCGGAAAGCAAGCAGGATGAGCTTTAAAATTTTATTTGTCTTCTTGAGACAGGGTCTCGCTATGCAGTTCAGACTGGCCTTGAGCTCACTTTGCAGCCCAGGTTGGTCTCTAACTTGCAACAGTCCTTCTGCCTCAGCCTCCCAAATGCTGGGTTTACAGGTGTGTGCTACCATGTCTGACTAAAAGATGGGGTCTCTACACATGTGCAGGCTCCGCTCACATTGGGCTCATGCCGGAATCTTCTGCATGTCCTACCTCAAGGGCCCTGAAATTTTTTTTTCTTTTCTTTCTTTCTTTTTATTTTTTAGGGAAGGGTCTATAGGGTGTTCAGGGCTTTACTACTAGATTGGACTCCCAGTGATCCGCCTGTTTACAGCCTCCTAAGAGCTGGGAATACAGGCGAGCGCCACCACACCCAGTCTCAGTTGCCACCTCAGCCTGCCCCGGGGGTGGGGCCAACAGGTTCTGGGAACCCCCAGCCCCTGCACCTGCTTGCAGGCACTTTAATCCACTGAACTATTTGGCCGGCCCAAGGGCCCCGAAATTTCATGTTTCCATTTTCTACAGGGAGGCCAGACTTTAATTTGTGTCTTGGACACTCAGTGCTAGGGCACTTTAGGTGGAATTTTTTTCCTATGCCTTGAAATCATGGGATTTTATTTTTTGTTTTGAGAACTGATCAGTAGTTGTGTTTTAATTTTTTGCAGTACTAGGGATTGAATCCAGGGGCACTCAACCACTGAGCCTTGCCTCTATCCCCTTTTAATTTTTTAAATTTTGAGACAAGATCTCCATAAGTAGCTCAGGCTGGGCTCCAGCTTGGGATCTTCCTGCCTCAGCCTCCTGTGTAGCTGGGTTGACTGATGGGAGCCAGCGTTCCAGGCTTTCAGATGGGAGGCTTTCCAAGGCTGGGGGCATCCAGCCTGCTGTGCTTTCCTGGAAAGTTTCTGTTCAGAGCTCCCCCCCCCCCCCAGTGCCTATGGGAGTCCGCTAATCCACAGCCACCACATTAGCACCTGCTGCAGGAGGGGGCCGTTAGTTTAGGATTAGTTTAGCTCCCTTAGGGCTTCTGCTCTTCCTGGTGCACTCTGAGCATCAGGGTCTGAGCTTGGGGGTGGGGGGCTCAGGGCCATGAGACTGAGTGCCAGGCCAGGCCCACCTTGAGCTTCCTGCTGCGGGGTGTGGAGTAGGGGTGGAGTCCAGGCTTTTGGTTTCCTGACACCCCGAGGAGCAGGGGTTCAAGTCCCAGTGGCCGTGGGCTTCTCAGGCTTGGGACCGCAGTCTGGATGGCTTGGAGCTAAGGGACATGGCTGTTTCTTTGAGACTCTTAGTGGCTTCATGTTACTTTGCCTCAGTTCACCTCACATGTATCTGCTTCCCGGGTGCCGGGAGGAGGACACAAAATGAGATTTTAGGGGCCTGCGGCTCCACACGTGGAGGGGGTATGCACCTCATCCCTGGTGGAAACCAAGCTGGCACCAGCTGCAGTCTGATTCTTCCTGGGTCCCCTGCTTGTCTTGGCCCACAGGCCCCTCCAGGGCTGCCTGCCCGCCCTAGCCACCTCCCAAGTGAAGCGCTTCTCAGCTTCCAGACGGAAGCAGCACTTCATCAACCAGGCCGTACGAAACTCAGACCTGGTGCCCAGGGCCAAGGGTCGGAAGAGCCTTCAGCGGCTGGAGAACAGTAAGCAGGGCTGTGGGGGCACCTCTTGAATGACAGTGGTGTGCATGTTGGTGCAGGGTCAGGGAGCAGGCAACAAAACTGGGAAGACTCCCCTCCCCCCCATCAGAGCTGCGGCAGAGTCCTGTCTGAGCACTGGAACTGGGCCTTAAAGGATGTGTAGGAGTTCAACAGAGCAGGGAGATGCAGGTGGAGCTGTGGAGGTTGCATAATGGCTCCTGCCTGTCTTCATCCAGCCCAGTACCTCCTGACCCTGCTGGAGACAGATGGGGGACCGCCTGGTCTAGAGGACGGAGACCTGACGCCTGCTGCGGCACCAGGCATCTTCGCAGAGGCCTGCAGCAATGCCACCTACGTGGAGGTAAGGCCCTGCCCCCTGTTGGCCACACGGGGTGGGGGTACAGGCCAGAGCCTCCCCCCGCCCCGGGAGTCGTGCCCAGTTGTACAGCCACATACTTGGGGCCTCCTGCATCTGTTTGCACTCCAAGTGGGGAAACTGAGGCCAAGACCTGTGGTCACCACTTGCCTCTTGCAGATATGGAATGACTTCATGAACCGCTCTGGGGAGGAGCAGGAGCGGGTGCTGCGCTACCTGGAGGATGAGGGTCAGAGCAAGGCCCGGAAGAGGGGGCCCGGCCGTGGGGAGGACCGCAGGAGAGGTGGGTCTGGGGGCTGGGTTGTAGATGGGCTATAATTGGTGGGTGGGAGGCGTCTTGTGGGCGGAGTTAAGCACTGGCTAGGGCTGGATGTAAATAAGGGGGTGTGGCTTGGGTGGGAGGAGTTTTAGGGTTGGGCCTGGAATAACAAAACCAACTGGCAGGGGTGGGGCTGTGGTGGGCAGAGCCTTGGTGGGTGGGGCTCGGCTGAGGGCAGGGCTTGGCAACCAGCCCCAAAGCTATGCTGGCACCTTGCAGAGGACCCGGCCTACACACCTAGTGAGTGCTTCCAGCGCATCAGCCGGCGCCTGCGGTCCGTGCTCAAGCGGGGCCGCATCCCCATGGTAAGTGCCCTGCCTCCCCACCAAGTGATTTTTTTCCTCACCACGCATTTCCTCTTGGGGATTGAAGTCAGGTTGAAGGGAAACAGGTTATCTAGGGCAGGTTGCATGATGGGAGACAATGCCATATAGACCAAGGAGACCAACGTGTATAACCCAAAGTTAGGCAAGAGCTGTCCTTGAGAATAGAAAGCATAGGGATAATGGAAATGGGCAGTGCAGGGTGTGTAGGAGTTCACTAGGGTGAGGGAACAAGCTAGACGTGTCATGGACATGTCTGAGTGCCTGATACCCGTGGAAACAGTCTCACATAGTGAGTCATTGTGACTATTTGAACCCAGGGCTTTGGGCACAGGAGGACCTGGCCAGCCTGTAAGTTCCCACAATGGCCTGATGCCTGGGGCATCTCTCCCGCAGGAGACTCTAGAGACCTGGGAGGAGCGGCTGTCGAGGTTCTTCTCCGTGTCTCCTCAGGCCGTGTACACGGCTATGTTGGACAACAGGTAGCGGGCGTGGAGGGCGCCTCAAGCTCCCCTTCCCTCTGGTTTCTGCCTGGCCTCTCATCCCCTCCCCTCTGCAGCTTCGAGAGGCTGTTGCTGCACGCCGTGTGCCAGTATATGGACCTCATCTCAGCCAGTGAGTGCGGAGCCCTGCTTGTGGCTGGCAGTGGGCAGCCAGGTCCCAGGGTGGCATCTTCCCAAGGGGAGATGTGGGGGAGGAGGTGTGACATTGGGGTTTGATAGCAGTTGGGTGTGGTGGTGCATGTCTGTCATCCCAGCACTCTGAGAGGTTGAGGCAGGAGGGGTCCCAAGTTGAAGGTCAGTGTGGACAGTTTAGCGACTTAGCAATTCCTTGTCCCAAAAGAAAGGGGTTGGGGATGGAGTTAAGTGCCAAGGCCCTGGGTTCTATCCCCAGCACTACAAAAGCCAACAAATGAATCAGGACTGACCAGTGTGCCCTGCTTGGATCAGATACCCCCTTCTTTGCATCTCTAGCACTTGAACTGGGGACCCCAGCTGGGGTGATGAAAACTTGGAGACAAAAAGCGGGCCTATAGTGTCTGGATGTTCATAGCTATAAGGGCCCTGTTCCAGGGCCTGTGTTCCATGTGCCCTGTGTCCCCACCTTTCTGGAGGGAGGGGACCATCTTAGGATCTTCCCAGGCTCTTGCTAGCCCAAGGCACCCCATGTGGTCCCAGCTTCCCACACCTGTCTGCTTTCTGCCTGGAGTTGCCAGAGAAACAGTTTCCATGGCAACCTGGGGCTGGTTTCTCCCATCCCCAGCTTCAAGCAGCGCCTACACCTGCCTTTGTTCCTGCAGCCTGAGCTGGTGGGGAGGGGCAGCTCACAGGGTGGAACCTTAGCCAGGACATGTGGGAAGGTTGGTCCACTCAGGGCTTTGACACTTCAGTCACCTCTGCAGGGTCTGGGCAGGGACTGGGAGACCCGGGAAGAGGCTAGACACTTGGCCTCAGCTCACTTTGCCTCAGTGTCCCCGCCTGCACAGGGGCTGAGGTGAAGGGAGATGTCCAAGTTCCTTTGCTTCCCTCCCGGCGTGTCCTGCCCACAGGTGCTGACCTGGAGGGCAGGCGGCAGATGAAAGTAAGCAACCGCCACCTGGACTTCCTGCCTCCCGGGCTGCTCCTGTCCACCTATCTAGAGCAGCACAGCTGATGGTGGCCACGCAGACCCCAGCCTCCGCCGCGCCCAGGCCTCCGATGCCATCTGCTAAGACACTTCTGTTTTTAGACTTCGTTCTTGGAAACTGGCTTTCCCTTTAGGGTGACTCTTTCTCACTTAGCCTTGTCCCCACTCTGCCCGGCTCTTAGAGCTCAACACTGGGGACAGGGCCTGCCTTGACTGTCCTAGTCTCCTAGTGCCCTAGCCTGGGACTTGTATTTGGGTGGGGAGATCTCACTGGGCACGTCCATCTTTCTGCTTTATTTAGCTTTTTTTTCCCCCCTCTGGCTCAGTCTAATGCTCAGGTGGACAGGGAGAGGCTGAGTTTTATCACTTTTTATGAATTGGGCATGATTTATTGTAGATTTTTAAATTTCTCTTTTGGAGGGAAAAACCAAAAAAGGCCTCAGGTGTTTCACTGTGGGGCTTTGTCGTGATCATTGCTTGTCTCTTTTTAGCTGTCACTGTGTATGTTTGGGAGGGTCCCAGGAGCATTTCATCTGTGTGTGTATGTGTGTGACCCCACACGTAGGCATGTGCGGCCCTGCAACCTGGGACACAGCTTTGTCTCAAGGGCTGGTTTGATGCTTTTAATGTGTGCAGCCTCTGCCTCCTCCTGCCTGCTCCTCATGCCCTCCCTCCTTATTCTGGGGACCCAGGACTTCCAGCCAGAAGCCTCTGTCCTTGCCTCCCTGCCCCCGCCTCCGTCCTCTCTGCTCAGCCTGGCTCTGGCCTTCTGCTCAGGGCCCCCTGGTGCTGGTCGCCCTCAGGGGACTCTGATGTGGAGCAGGCCCAGCCCCTTGTCCCATGTGTGGCCCATTGTGTGCGAGTGTGTGTGTGGGGAGGGTGTTTAATAAATTCCTGGTGCTCTGGCAGCAGGCTGTGTGGTTTGTCTGGGTCAGGGCTAGGGACATCACAAGTCTTGGTCCCTGAGGGTGGCATTCTTGGGGGTGAGGTTCCCCACAAGTGACAGGCTTCTGTGAGACCCAAGCTGTCTTCATTGGTGCCAGTTTGGAGACAGTGACTGAGTCACTTGTGTGAAGCTACCAGGCATGACACCTGACCTCCCAGCTGAGGCAGGATGAGCACAAGTTTAAGTTCAGCCTGGCCAACTTAGGGATACCACCTCAGAATGTAAAAGGCTGGAGAAAAAAAAAATTTTTTTTTTTTAAATTAGGGCCCCGGAAGATAGCTCAGTAGAATAAGCAGTTGCCTGGCAAGTACAGGGTCCAGAGACAGTACCTGCCTGGCAAACCAAAGGTCCTCAGTTCAATTCCAGGTACAAACAAAAGGAAAGGAGAAATAATTATCCCCAAAAGGGGGAGGGATGCGACTGGATGGTGAGCACCTGCCTCCCTCGCTGGTTCTGATGCTGTGCTAGGGATGCGGTGCTGCTGGGTCAGGACCTGCTCTGAGCACTTGTAGAAACCCCACCTTCCAAGTAAGGCCATCCTCAGAGTTGGTGGGAACTCCAGTATCCTTTTTTAAATTTCTATTTATTTTACTTAAAACAAAACTTTCACTTTTTTGTTCTTGTACTTTTTTTTTTTTTTCTTTTCAGAACTGGGGACTGAACTCAGGCCCTTGCGCTTGCCAGGGAAGCACTTATTCCACTGAGCCATCTCCCTGGCCCCTGTTCGTTCTTTCTTTCTTTTTGCGGAACCAGGAATTGAACTCAGGCCCTTGTGCTTGCCAGGGAAGCACTTATTCCACTGAGCCATCTCAGCCCCCTATTTTTTGTACTTCTGGTTGCTAGTTACTTTTTATTTTATTTTATTTTTTTCTGTTTGAGGATTGGAATCTAGGGCTTTGGCACCGAGCTGCACCCCCAGCCCTGCTTTTTTCTTTCTTTGCAGCTGGAGCTTGGGCAGAATGAAAGAGTAAAAAGCAGGGCTGGCCAGGTAGCTCACTGGACTAAAGTGGCTGGTTAGAAAGAGCCTAGTGGTCTGGGTTCGATTCCCAGTGTGCCCTCCTGGCCCCGCTGCTGAGGTGCAGAGACAGTTACCCCAGCACTTGGGAGGCTGGAAACAGAAGTCTTACTATGAGTTCGACCTATGTGGTGGGACCCTGTACTACTGAACTCAGGCCCTTGTGTTTGCCAGGCAAGTGCTTATTCTACTGAGCCATGTACCCAGCCTAAATCTATTTTTTAAAAAAGTAAAAAGGGGGGCTAGGGAGATGGCTCAATAAAATAAGCACTTGCCTGGCAAGCGCAAGGGTCTGAGTTCAATCCCCGGTTCTGGAAAAAAAAAAAAAAAAGTAAAAAGCAAGATACAGCCTTTTAAAGAAAGAAACAGACACCTGGAAAAAGCAGGCAGGCTATGGTAAGGAAAGTTATGGTGGCCACTTTTGTTTTCCTTTGGCAGAACCAAGGCTTGAACTTAGGCCCTTGTACTTGTCAGGGAAACATTTATTCCACTGAGCCCCCAGCCCCATGGTGGCTACTTTTGGAAAAAGAACTGGGGATGATGTTCGAACCTGAAAGCCCTCAGTTTAAAAAGCCACTGAATGGGCGTAAGGTTTTGAGACCTCGTCTGACAATAGCCTGGGCGTGGAGCTCCGTGGGTAGTGCTTGTATTATGGGAACAAACCTCTGGTTCTATCCCCAGCACTAGTTTAAAAAAAAAGTCCAGGGGCTGGCGAGATGGCTCAGTGGTCTAACGCACCTACTTGGAACAAGCTTGGTAAAGCAGAGGGACTGCGGTTCGATCGCCCAGCACCACATGCCAGCCAGCCCCGCCCCCTGGTGGGCTGAGCTGGCCACACACACAATAAATAAATAAATAAATAAATAAATGTTAAAAAATAAATAAAAATAAAGATTTAAAATTAAAAAAAAAAAAGTCCATTATGGTCCAGCTCCCTTACTCCTGTGCAGAGACCAGAAGGAAACTAAGTCAGTAGAGTCACCTGTGCTCCCCAGTTACATTGCAGCACCATTCACAATGCCTAAGGCATGGACGAGGGTCCAGTATTCAACAGATGAGTGGAACTAGAAAACCTATGTTTATACCGAATGGAGTACTACTTACGTATAAAAAGGAGACTACATGGTGGCACACGTCTGTAATCCCGTGTGCCACCATGTAGCACTCGGGAGTCTGAGACAGGAGGATCACTCGAGCTAGAGACCAGCGTGGGCTGCAAAGTGAGCTCAAAGCCAGCCTGAATTTGCATAGCAAAACCCTGTCTCAAAAAGACAGACATGACACAGTGAAACCTGTTAATTTGTTTAATTAATATTCATCAAGAATGTATCAGAAGGCCAGGTGTGGTGCACACCTGTCATGCCAGCACTTGGGCAGTTGAGGCAGGATTGCTTCAAGGTTGGGACCAGTCTGGGCTACAAGGTGAGCTCAAGGCCAGTCTGAACTGCATAGCCAAACTCTTGTCTCAAAAAAGAAAGAGGAAAACATAGAAACCAAACAAAAATATCAGAGCCTCAAGTTACTCTTATTGTGAATTTAAGAAAACATGGGACGAATAAAGAGACTCATAACAGGAGTTGGGAAAGGTAAGGTCAAAAGTGCCTTCAATTAATTAAGCAACTTTGAATCTACTTAATATTTTATAAGAGCCTCAGTTTTCCTGCCAGTGAAGACTAGGAAAGAAGTAAAAATATGGAACGCTTCACGAATTTGCGTGTCATCCTTGCGCAGGGGCCATGCTAATCTTCTCTGTATCGTTCCAATTTTAGTATATGTGCTGCCGAAGCGAGCACAGATTATGGCTTGGTTCATTGGTTATTTATAGGTCCAAAAGTATACTTTTTTACGGTTAGGGTTAATTTTTTCAAAAACATTATAAGTTTCTCCATTTTTTATACCATTAACACCAATTATAGATCAAACTAAATATGCTCATTTACTGGAGTTCACAAAATGTTCTTTAAAAAAATTGTTATTTTATTTCTACAACATGTAACTGCAATGATTTCTGGGAATCTCTACATGCAAATAACAAAGGAAGTCGCGCTGTGCAGCCAGCCGTCGCCATCCCACAAGTCTTTGCGAAGCCCGGGTGCCGCTCCGGCGACTCGTTAGTCCGGAAAAGATGGCGGCGCCAGAGTTGGGCCGCTGGGGCGAGTATGGGCCACGGCCTCCCGCTCGACTGGGCGCACGTGCCAGCCAGGTGAGCACGCAGCTTCGGGGACCCAGAAGAGTCTGCTGGCCTCCGGACGGCATCTACGGCCATTAAAAGCATTGCCGGACCTTCCTGCTGTGGGGGCGTGGCCTACAGGTCAGGGGGCGGGACTGGCCGTAGAGGATCCTGGGTACGCGACCTGAAGCCCGGGGCGGGGCCTAAGGCGGGAACTTGCAGTGAGATCTGGTGCTCACCGGGTCCTGCGATCCGGGCTGTGGTCGGCCGAGGCCGGGGCCTACGGATCTTGAGGGTCTGGGAGCAGGGCCGAAAGAATTGAGGGTGTTTGAGACGGTTGAAAAGCTTGGGGTGGGGTCTGGAAGTCTTGTGGGGTCCCCGGGTGCAACGTGTGGGTTTATGATGGGCCAGGGAACTCGCGGGGCGATTTGGCGCGGTGTCTGAGGATGGCACCGTGTTGGGGCAGGCCCTAAAGTCTGTTTGAGGGCCTTGCGGGGGCCAGGGTAAGACTCGAAGGATTGGAAGCAGGGGTGGGCGTTGGGTGAAATGAGTGAGGGATCATTGTGTTCCCCCTGGGCACTACAGAGGTGAAGGGAGACGCTCTCCCATTGATGCCAGGTCCCTAGGAAGCTGCGCCCTCACTGCTCCTCGTGCCCCTACAGCCTCTGTAGTGAATCCCTGGCTCTTCCTTCAGAGTAGACAGCGTCCATCGCCCAGTCATTCCTGACCCCCTGCTTGTCACCTGCACTGGGGCGGTGACCTTGCTGCACCTATATCCTCCATGGTTTGCTCCTAGACAGCCCAGCCAGAGGGCCTGCTGAAACTAAGTTGGTCCCAGCCCTCTTAGTTCCCCCCTGGCTGAGGGTGGACCCCCCCCCCCAGGCCCAAGAACGCCTCTCCCTCAGCTGTAAGGCCCTCAACTCCCCACACTCTGTTCTGGCCACAGCCCAGGCTAGGTGGAGCTCCTGAACTTTTACTCCGGCGAGTGTTCTCCTCAGGTATCATGCCACACTTGGGTGTCACCTCCCCTGGGGAGGCCTGGTAGACCCACTGTACTAAAGCTACAGCCTTCTGCCTGAAAAAAAAAAGCCCAAAGTGTAGTCTCGTCCCCATCCTGTACCATGGCGCTCATCCCCACATCCACCCACAGGAGCCAGTGACTTCCTTGGGCACAGTGGGCACCATGGACCTGGCCTACGTCTGTGAATGGGAGAAATGGCCCAAGAGCACCCACTGCCCCTCGGTACCCCTGGCCTGTGCTTGGTCTTGCCGCAACCTGATCGCCTTTACCACGGACCTGCGGAACGACGACCAGGGTGCGTTCCCACCACCCCACTGCTTCCTGCACCCTTGGAGATGGACATTGGGGGGTCTTAATCCCCCTCCCTCTGTGCTCAGTGGGTTGGGCATCTCCATCTCCAGGAAGCAGAGGATCGGAGCCATTCCATGCCTGGGGCCTGGGGTTGCACGTGTGAAGGCAACTGTGGGCCCACAGGGCTAGGGCACAGTGACTTTATGATTCACACCCCTGCTGGCGGCCTCTCCATTGTTCTGGTAATAGAAGCTGTTAGGATCAGAAAGCACTGAGGCTCAGGATAATAGAGAGATATGCTACCTGGTGTTTTCTGCAGAGCCTCCTACTCAGCTTTTGGGGTCATTTTCCATTTTCTGTGCCTTATTTATTTGTGGCATGGGAGATTGGGCCTTTGTATGAAGCTTCATCCTCAGCCCTTTCTTATTTTGAGATAGGGCGTTGCTAAATTGTCCAGGCTGAACT